GGACACTTGGGAACAAGAAAGTTTGGGGGGGGGGTAACATTGGTCCTTCCCAGACCACTCTGTGTTCTATTAGCTTTGTATCCCTGTGAATGGGCTGTGACTAGAGAGGACCTTAAATAAGTGGCCTGAGGGAGGGAGATAGGAGAATAAGACAAAACAGGACACTTGGGAACAAGAAAGTATCACATGTCACAGGCAAGGTTGTCATAGGGACACCTCAGCTGTTCCCAAGCCATTCACTTAGCTACGGGGCACATAGCTGGGCTGCATTGCTCAGCCTCCCTGCGCTCAGGTGAGGCCTGTGACAGGAGGAAGTGACGGGAGCCTCTGCAGGTCCACCCTCCACTCTGCCTCCCCAGCCTGCAGGAGGCTGATGGAGGCTCATGTACAGGAGGCTGATGGAGGCCCGTGTGCAGGAGGCTGACGGAGGCCCGTGTGCAGGAGGCTGATGGAGGCTCGTGTATAGGAGGCTGATGGAGGCCCGTGTGCAGGAGGCTGATGGAGGCCCATATGAAGGAGGCTGACAGGGGCTTGTGTACAGGAGACTAATGGAGGCCCGGGTGCAGGTGACCCCAGAAGCCATGTGCTGAGGATGTGTCAACCTCTCCCCGCCAGAGTCCTTGAAGGACTGTTTGGAGCAGAGCTTGCCTCCCCCACCCCCAACTGCTACTGTTGGTGAGAGAAAAATGAACTTGTATTGTGTCACCCACTAATATTTTGGAATTTATCTGTTACAGCAGCTGTGTGTACTGTAACGAAGATAAATGCATGAATTGTTCCAATGATTACAAAACTCCCAAATTTTTAAGGAAAACAAATTGCAAGACCGATGTGATCCAGCGACAAGCGGGTCCCCTTTGCGGGGGAGCGAGCCGACTCCTGGCCCTTACCGGGTCTGAAAGGCGGGATGTGCGGCACGGGGGTGTCTTTCCTCCGCGGTTTCCTCTGGTCTGCCTCGATGTTCAGGGCGGCCTGTACGTTTCTCCCCTTTCTCGGCTTCTTTGTGAGCTCACAGTCCTTGATGAACTGGTCGGAAAGGTCATCTGATTGTGACAGGATGCAAAGGGAGCAAAAAAAATGACATGCGTAAGGGTCTGGTCACAGACTGGTTGGCTTCCAGTTCTACCTGATGAAAGGGCAGAAGTCATCGGCCTGCAAATACAGTATTTCTTTCCTGTGGCCTTTTCTACAGAGAACCTTAGGAGCCTTGCATGAATGCACATAACCAAATAACGGAACTAGAATTCTGTAGAACTCCAAGTGAACTGAAATGGGATGGATAGTCAAGGCAAAGAGGAACTTTCAAATATCTTTAGGCAAGCCACAGACTGGGTTTCAGTTACATTTCTGATGGGAGAACGGGTTCTCTGGGCTAAATGCTCCTTCCCAAGATCCTTTGCTCAAGTCTGGCTTTCTCTGGAGACCCCAGGAGCCCCTAGGACCTCATGCTGCCTTGGGTCTTGTAGGAGGGTGTTCAGTAGCTCACCCACCGTCACTCCCATGGCAGCCAGGTTGCACTGGTCATTCACACGGGGGCTCCACAGTGGTCTTTTCACTGCCCTAGCTTTCCGAGGCTACTATTTGCCCAAGAGCCTTCTTAGAGATTAAGGATTATACGCTCTTTTGTAAATTTATTCTTAAATGCCTCTCTTCCAATAAATGCATTGAATGCTGAATAGGTGGAGAAGGACCGACCTGAGTTCAAATCCTGACTCTGACACTTGCTGGTTCTGAGAACTTGGGCCTTAATTTCTAGAAACTTTGATATTCTCTCGGCTTTTAAAGTGGATAATGTTGGCCTGGCCAGTGTGGCTCAGTGGGTTAAGTGTCTTCCTGTGCGCTGAAAGGTCGCTGCTTGGGCTCTCGGTGAGGGCACGTGCCCAGGTTGTGGGTTTGGTTTCTGGTGTGGAAGCAACCGATTGATGTTTCTCTCTCATATTATGTTTCTCTCTCTCTCTCCCTCTCCCTCTCCCTTCTCTAAAATCAATACAAACATAAAAAAATAAAGTGGGGAAAATATTAAGTCAGTGAGAGAGAGAGAGAGGAAGAGAGAGAGAGAGAAAGTTGGTAATGTTGGTAAAACACTTGATACATTTGATATATTTTAGATGCTCAAAAAATTTTCACTCTTGCCATTGCTCGCCCATAACACCTTCTGATAAGCCCAGAGAAAAGGCCCCCCAATATTCCTAAGTCCTTCCATACTGACCCTAGATCTGGGTGTCTGTTCTCATTTTCTGAATTTTTACCCATAGCTTTTTTGCTTGTGTGACCCCTTTAAAAGATGATCTAGGTATTATTACTGCATATGTCTTCTTTGCCCTCTTTGATGACAAGTATCTTGTATTTTATACTTAGCAACAATGAATAAATATTTGTTGAATGTATGCTTAAATGAATAAACTCAAACATATTATGTACAAAGACCTATTCTGTTAGGATTCAAAGAAGCTACAAGGCAATAAAGCTATTTGTCTTCTCTGGAAACTCACTATTGCCTGGATAAGGTCTGGCTAGATCTACAACCATGAATGAATTTGGGAAAATTCAGAGATTAATTGGATCTTTTCAGCTTCCTCCCTCCTTCCCTCCCTCCCTCCCTCCCTCCCTCCCTCCCTCCCTCCGTGGGGGGCAGAAAATTTGTAACATAGTCAAAGTGTCTGTAAGTATAAATAAAAACAATACCAGAAGTACATCCACCCCCTTCATTTAGCCCGTGAAATTAAAGACAAACGAGCTAGCACTAA